ATTCAGAAATATTCATAATCTAATGAGAATATTATTCAAAAATTTCAAAAATATTTTACAAAAAAAATATAAACGTACCATATTGAATAAGCTTGAAAAATGATAAAACATTCATTTTTAAAATAATATTGATTAGGATCATTTTAGAAACTTATTTGATTATAAAATATAATTCTCAATACAGAATTCTTATATATAAATGTAACTAGCTTTTAGGGATGATGTCAAATTAAAAAATCTATTTTCAAAATTATTTTAAAAAGGTTTAACGACAGTGATTTCAATCATTGAAATCCAGCCTTTAATAACCTTATTTGAACTCCTGAACATAATGAACAAAAATTTGATTTAATTTAATATTAAAGTACTTCTAATATAAATATGAAAACAAAGAAATGAATTGAACACGTACTTATGACCTTACCCCATTATTCCAAATTCTAATTACTAATATTTTAGGATAATCGTTCAGTTCGTTTTTAAATATTTAATTACAAATAAATGGTCTGGCTTGCCAAAAACAAAAGTAAGATTTTCGAATGATATCTTTCAAACAGTTTTAAAATATAAAAAACCGATTCTAGTTTTTTGCGTAAGAACATCAAAAAAAGTTTAATAATACACACATACAATTTTTCTAATTTTGGTCCCAAACATTCTAAATAGCTTGAAACGGCGAGAAAACATAAAAAATAGGCAAAAACAAAACTTTCTCATTTTTAACACAAGATTGATTTGATTAAATATTTTTTAGTGATGACCAACATTTTCTGAATATAATATATTTGTTTTACCTCAAAACATATATTAACACTAAAGAATAATATTTACAATATATCTATGTACATTAAATTATGTACCGATATAATTTGAGATAAAACTTGAAACAAAATTCATCCGAAATAGCGTAGAAAACTGACTGAAAACTCAAATAATGCCACTTAACTAATTACAGTACAGAGCACATGCAAGCTATGAGTTAACTTTTCTACTGTTATATAAGCTCCTGATGCATTTCATATTCTCTGTGGTAATTGCTTTTTGAAATATTATTATTGCATTAATGTTTTGAAGCAAATGATAATTTAATTGCACTATTAAAAGCAATACATGATATATTTAATTTTTTCAGAACATTAAATAAGCGTATGAAATTGAACACGATTTCATTTGCTTTATAATTTTATTATTTAACGTGCACAGCTTTACGATGAGGAAATTCATTTACTTTTGTTGTATGTTTTATCCGTTAATTTTTGCAGAAAATTTAAAAAAAAAAAATGACCTAAATATATATGTTTTAAAACATAGTATTTTATATCATGAAACATACTATTTAAATTATTGGAGTTATTATTATTCAGGAGGGTTGATGGTTCATTTAAATTTTCTATTCTTCGCCGCAAAAAATTCAGGCAGCAGATGCACAATTTACGATTTTGCCATATTGGGATAACTCGAGTATTGCAAATAACCTAAATAATAAATCGCGTATCTATTTTGTATTCAGTACCGTTTCTCTCAGTAAGTTTTCTTCGGTTCCTACAAATATTTACAGATGCGAATCGGAAGAGATTCTGCAATTGGATCTCTCTTGTGTTTGTTCTGAATTTATTGCAATTTATTTGCAACTGCAGAAAAGGCAAGTATGTAAAGGAAATATTACTTTATAAAGGGCAAACATTATTAAAGATTTTCTGGAATGCAATATAATATATGACGGATTTTGTGTATAATAGATATTCCTATATAGATCAGCTTATTCGTCACCATAGTGTTGGAGACTTGGAGAGCATTGAATTAAAAAAGATTTTTTATTAGATTATTAAAGGAAAAAATCAGAAGTTAGGTAAAAAACAAATAATATATTTTTAATTGAATTCTTTCCTATTCAACTTCCCATTTCAGGCTCTGATAACTTCACACTTTCGAGTAATGATAAATGGTGGTAGAAATATTACCAAACCTTGCAATATAAAAATTTTCATTTAAATTTTATCGATTATTATAACTTAATCATGATATAAAATTGCTATTTTAATTAAAGTATGTGCAGAAAAAAAATTATTTAACAACTTTTATATCAAAAGTGCATCACATTCTGCAGAACCAGTCGAAACTGGTAACAAAATAATTACAATTAATCGAACCAATATAAGAAGATATGGGAAATCAATGAAAGTAAAGATTTTTAGAATTATTTTACTAAATTTTTCTGAATTTTCGCAAAAATATTTACGCAAATTTTCAATAAGTTTTCAATGATGTATTTTTATTAAAGATCTTTCAGAATAATTTATTCAATAATTCACATATAATATACCCAAAATGCAAAATTTAGAATCTAGTTCGAGCCCGTAATACGTATTTATGATTTACCACTTTCTTTCTTTGGCACTTCTGGAAAACGTTGCAAACTCTCTGAAATAATTTCAGTTGTTTTGACGTTACCTCGGATATGGTCGTATTTGATGATTCAGAACAAAAATCATGGCATAAAAGTTTCCACCACAAATAAGACAAAGGTAAAGCATCGTCTTTAATAAATCAATACAACTAAAAATGCTTTTGACAATTACTTTTGAGCAAATATGTATTTCTGAAGATTTGCTTACTCGTGCAATAATACGGTTCGTGGGACTCGAAGATTAATTGTATACAAAACAAACAGACATGAATACGCAAACAAATATAACGATCTGGCAAAAGGGGCACGAAAATAAATTGTTTTATGGAAATTGATATAGGCAACACAATTAGGCATATTTAACCCCTATATTGTTATGTATGAACCAAGTTTAAGACAAATGTTGATATTCGGATTTCATAATGATGTGTTTGTTATGCTAGCTCGAGTAAATGATGGAGTTGAGCTTTGATTTCGCTTTGTTATGTATATAAGTTCAAAAGTGTAATCAAGAATCATTAATTAGTATAATATATAATTATTACTTGAATAGTACACCAATTGAATGACAATCTATTCAAAAAATAATTATTATTAAATTATTTCATTATGCAATATTTTTAAAATTTCAAAATTTCAGTAACTAAGCAAAATTAAAAATGCTTGAATATTGTTTAACTAATTTATATAATTACAATAAATTGTGGCTGTATTTAAAAGGTCCAAATAATTAACTAACTTTTTCGGAAAGCTAAAAATATTGGCTAGATTTAGATATCGGTTGTCTTCTCATCAAGGTAGATAAAAGAAAATTTCATAATAGAAATCAAAAGTACAGTGCCTAAATTATTAAATTCTTAATGAAGTAAGCATTAATGATATTAATGCTGATAATTATATTTTCCAGTCGTATAAATTAAACTGGCTAATTAGAAACCAAAGTTATGGATGAACAATAGAATAAACCTTTGACAGTTCTGTAGATGTTTTGGGATTCTGTGTGTTCTACGATTTATGGGATAAGTAGGCTTGGAAATGCTTTGTACAATCCCATTTATAACAGTCGCCCAACTTTGGTTCGCTTGATGTTCTAGATTATGTACTAAATTACCCTCTCGGACTATAAATAACACTAGCTCAAAACTCATGAAGAGCTATCTCATTTCGTCTTTTTAATCCACGCGTAATTTTTTACGCGAATATAAGTAAGAGTTGCAGGGGTTAAGGTTTCTGAAACAATTAAGATATTAATTCAATGTTGGAGTATACGGCTTCGAAATTTCTGCTGTCTTTGTAAGAACTTATAAAGGTCAATAGTGGCTATTTCTTTAATAAACGATAATCTTTACTTCTATCCTAATAGGATAACAAGTAAAATTTTAAGAATAGAAAATGCATGTTGAAAAGCCATACCCCTGTCCAAGGTTAGTGAATTTAAAATAGACACAAGTAGGTTTCAATTACAATATGCTGAACTATACTGGCTTCTGGGGCGTAAGTCAATTAACAGTTTATCTTGATGATAAACTATTAATTAACAATCGAGATTGTGATATAATCTATGTGTATTTAAGGCATCCAACTGTGAAGTTGTGCGAGCAAATCAAACATTGTTTTAATGCAGCCTAAAATTTTGAGACTGATCACTAATGCTCCTTGGTTTGTCAGCAATAAGACCCTACACAAAGATCTAATTATAAATTTTATAAATGGTAAAATAAAGCCAAAAAGTGTTCAGCATTTTCTATAACTGGAAGATCATTCAAAATGTATAGTTGCTTAATTTTTTGAAGGTACCTGTTTCGAGAAGGCCGAAAATGAATATTCCAAAAGATAATATTCAAGTTACTACATCTTTGGAGAACTGAAGCATCACTCATTAGAGTGACATTTATTGATATACTGAAATTTAGCACAAAAGTTTCATATGTGTTGCTCATAGAGCAACCAAATTGAACCAAATAGCTCATAGAGTATTGTATTTTGGTGTGCAGTACATTTTGATATTCCAGTCAAAATAGAATTCAAGTTAGCATTAATTCGCATTGAGCTGAAAATTGGTCCAGATGTTAAGTCGCAATCGATCCGACATCTGCGATTTTTTTATTCCAGGTCAATAGTACAAAATTCTAATTTTTTCCATTATTCGCAAATACTATGAAAAAAACTTTGTCTTTGCCAAAAACTATTCAGCACATCTCCTTAGCAATAGGAAACGAATGTTTTTTGAACCATTCAAATTCTTTGATCGCGAAAACGTAGACAAAAAATTGCGGATACACACACATCCATTTTCGCTGAGGTAGCCAAAATGTTCAGAAACCCTAAAACGTTACTATAACTTACCCTACGGAGAGTTAATAAAAAATAAGAATTTATAGTGTCAGTTCCTAATTACCCTCCTCCTTACTAGAACAACACCCGCCAGCTATGTCATTTTTCAAGTGTGGAGGGTCAAAGGCCTGATTGTTTTCAAAGAGAGTATTAGGTATATTGCGGTCTTTAATTTTTTGTGTTCTATTTCTTATTGTATTTATTGTTTATTAATAATTATAAATAGTTATTTTAAGTCTTAGTATTATTATTATCTCACCTCAAGTCTGTCCCGTCCATCGCTGCCTTCCCATTTGTCTGCTATTCGGATTGTCTCCGCAGTTTTCTGCTGCACGGACTTGCTGTCATCCAGCAGTGTCAATTCGTAGAATTCTTGAATATCTGCAAGGGAATACAAAAGAAAATATGAAAAGAATGCACTCTTTCAACAAAATGCACACACATGGTTTATGTATGGGTCTGAGACACTGGAAAATGGAGCGTATAAATTATATTGAGTAATACAACGGCAGCACAATAAGATAACTCCTTTGAGGAGATATATGGATCGAGACGGTGAAGATATTTGATGAATATAAAAGTGAATATATGTATATATATATATATATATATAATATTATTCTATCTAAAACCCCTGATGCACATAGCATTTTGAAAGTTCTGAGTACCATTTTATCAATCAAATGTTGCACAAAACCCAATATGTTTAATAAGGATTTTTGTGTTTTATTATCTTCTAGAAAGAAATCCTAGGACCATTTATTAAAGCACCACACACATTCCAAAAATAAAGCAAAATAAATTCCTTGTCAACCGTCGTCTGACGTCAATTTCCAGATTTCCGCAATCTCGGTCGCCGAGACAAAAGATAAGTGCAGATCGGACAATGGTCATGGTGGGCTCAGAAATACGAATATATATGATTGCGTAGAAATTCGTATTAGACGTCTTTTGTTATTTGAAAACAGTAGGTCTAACGACGGAAGTTTTTGTTCAAGAATCGGATATTGTTTATGATCACGGATGCGTGTATTAAGTGTAGAACGCCTGTTGGCCATTGTAATGCGCTGGATACATTCGGTGCACATATTCTCAAAACAAAGTTTAGATAGATAAAATTCTGAATTAAAAAAAATCAATAAACCATTAAATTGAAACTCAATAGTCACTTGGTAAAAAGTGTCAGAAAAATTGGAGAAGAATTACTAGATCGGAGATTTTGCCATGTGACCCCAATTTCGACTTTTTGAAACGACACCAGGAAACATTTCTGTTATGTTCAAGTCATGAGTTTCTAATATTATGAGCTTTTGAATCTTCAAAGCTCTGTCATATATCTACCGCAACATCTATTACTTTTTAATTACATTAACAATTAATATCAAACGTTTCTAAATTAATATACAAGTATCCACGAGAAACCGCAAGACAAAGTAGGAATTTCATGAAATTTAATTGAGGTATACTGAATCTCCATGAATTTATAACTTTGCATTCGCTTTATGTAAACACATATAATTTGATATTGCAAAACACTTGTTCCCGCATAGTTTCAAGCCATTAAAGTATCCCGTGAGCGGAGAGAAAATTGCTACTGCCCGACAACGGAAAATATTCTACTTGTATTCAGGATAGAACACATAAATATTAAACTATATTATTGAAGTTGAAATACTTCCTTTTGAAAATAATAATTAAATCATAAAGAATATAAAATACTTCCTCGGCAATTATAAACTTGACTCACAACTTATGACAGTATTACATTATTTTACAGTTGCATAATTAAGTAAAAACTTCTAATCAAATTATCAATTTCAATATTGAATTAATTTGCATAAAGAGTTACTACAGATCATTAAAATCATTTAAATTAAATTTCACTGTTGGTACCATCACATAAAAATTTCAATTAACAATTATATTATCTTATACAAAGTTTCTATTAAGCCAATTTGGACATACGGGATAGAACTATGGGAACCGCTTCCACATCAAACGTGATAAAAATTCAAAGATGTCAAACTAACTATAAAAATATGTTGAATGACTCGAAATATGTATTAAATTGGCTTATACAAAAAATGCCCGCGTAGACCAATAAACGATGAATTTCTTTGTAAGACTGTACGCATCAGAGTATACCTAAAACTAAAATAAGCTTATTTTTTATATCTCGACAGAAATCCACTTTCAAATCAAAGTATAAAAAATGATCTCATTCTATAAATTATTTTTATTATTTACATGTGTCACTTAATTTCAGGCGTTCTTAGCGACTCCGAAGTAATGTAAAATATGCAAGTTTAATGGCATCAAAATTCAGTCGAGCGAATAATTTTAACGAAGTCTCGAGCTTATTTAATGAAGCTGTTACGAATTAACATAAATGCAAATAAAAATCTCCTACGCATACTGTATTTTAAATTGAATTAGGCTCCAGAATTTCCGTAAATTTTCCTGCCTGGAAATGAACAATATTTACTCTTTCTCGTGTATGCAAATAAACAGTTTGGAACAGTAATAATTAACAAATAAATAAAATAATTTTGGTCAAATCTTCGAATTACTTTTAAGCACGTTGGATTAAGTAGCATATTGAATAATACTGATAATAAATTTATGACAAAATTAAAATAAATTAGTGTTCTTGTTTACATTGTTATAGGGTACAAAGGATGAAAGTGACAAGTTTTTGGAAATTGGCTAAAAAACATAGAGATACTTATTTGTTTGATATGTGTTATTTGTTTTGATATGGTTAGTTTGGTTTTTGCAGTATAATTGCCATATGAGTGAGTGAACCCTAGCATGTGCAAGTTGTTTAACTATATAGTAATTAGTGTAATTTACTCCATAATTATCTATAATTTGATATACTTGTTTAAATTTTCATTTTCTGTTTAATCATTATTATTTATATATTGCATATAAAGTTTTAGTGATTCTCAAATGACTCATAGGCATTGTATGCAACAATGATTATAAAATTTCTTAATGCATACCATTTAGAGCATCAGTACCACTTTCTCTGTTTTTGTTACCGAAATAAAAAGAAATCATGATCCTATAGTCAAAAGGCTGTACTCGAGGGGCTTATATCCGAAATTCCGCCATAGTGGCCGCAGAGCTCCTTCCTATCTCATAAAACAGAAGATATATAGGGCTCTGAAATACTAAGGCTGATATCGTTACATAGAAAATAAAAAAATGAGGAAAGCAAATATTAGGTTGAGACTTTTAATTAAAACGATAGCGTTGAACAATATATGAGTTCGCATAAATATATAGAAGATACAAATTTTCTGTAATAGTTTTAGTATATTACATCTTGCAACGTATTTTGCATAGGATTATACCGTGACACTGTTTTTCCAAATGAGCATAGAGATGTTGTAAAATAAATAATATAGGAATGCTATTACTCTACATAGCTCTTTTGGAAAATTAAAATTTTCAAACTTTCATAGTGCATATTGCTAATATACAAAGTCATTCATGGCTTTTTTCGAATTATATTCTCAGCCTTTTGTGTTGAATTTAAAATATTTCAAATTTTTTTTATCTTATTGTTATTTACGGATATTGCAGCAAATTGCTTTGAAAAACAAAACCATATAACGTTTCTACCATTACAGCAGCACAAAAAAACCAACAGCAAACATATGTGTCCTCTCCTTTGAGAGTATTTCACATTCTTTTTGCATCGACATAGTCATAGCATTCTGGCATCAAACATTCTGGCGTCTGGCGAAAATCACAAAATATATTATAACACGGGCGGCGAGAAAACAACAGAAAAATAAAACCGCCAACGATAAACCAACTGCTGCGGCAGACAAAAACAGATGCATATTTCGCGCTTGAAGCAAGGCGGCGCTGCTCCACTGTAAATACAGGAGTCGAATTTATATGCTAAAATATAGTAGTTTATTTGAATTTATATTGGCACAATATTATAATACAGGTTGCCAAAATA